ATTCCAACGACGCTGCGCGCACTGGACAATTTTTTTCTTCCTCTTCCTTCTTTTTCCTTTTCTCCACCATATCAAATCATTAACAAAATGGCTGACGAAGACGTATGTACACACACTGTTGAAACGGGGATTTGGAAAGTAGAAAAGAGTGAAGACCTGCAGAAAGGAACTCTTTCTGGTAGCTAGGGAGCTCGTATCGTCGTGTTCAGAGCCGGCGCGAGATCGTCTCATGGTGATTTGCTTTCATACTCCGCAGCTTTTCGCTGTCTCTGGCGCCAAACTTGGATTTGCAAACTTGCCTGGCAGTGGTCGTCACGTGACGCGGACGTTCTTGGCTGTTTTTACAGCGCTTTTGCTGCAGGGATTTCCAGCGAGGCAACGGAGACATGGCAGCCCGTCGATGTGGGCAACCCAGCGCCGGATTCCCCGCTCGCACCTGAATACTAACATCCACAGCACACCTTTGAGACCGCCGATGCCGGTGCCGCCTTGACCTTCCCAATGCAATGTTCTGCTTTGAGAAAGAACGGTCACGTTTGCATCAAGGGTAGACCATGTAAGATTGTCGACATGTCCACCTCCAAGACCGGTAAGCACGGTCACGCCAAGGTCCACTTGGTTGCCATTGACATCTTCACTGGCAAGAAGTTGGAGGACTTGTCTCCATCCACCCACAACATGGAGGTTCCAAACGTCAAGAGAGCCGAGTACCAGTTGTTGGACATCGACGACGGCTTCTTGTCCTTGATGACCAACGACGGTGACACCAAGGACGACGTCAAGATCCCAGAGGGTGAGTTGGGTGACAAGATCCAATCCGAGTTCGACGACGGTAAGGACTTGAGCATCACTATCATCTCTGCCATGGGTGAGGAGGCTGCCATCTCTTTCAAGGATGCTCCAAAGGTCTAAGTTGTCTTGTTTGGCTTGGAGCTTGTGCGGGATATGTACAATGTGACCAATACACAAATTAAGAGTAGTTTCTTCACTTGTAGAGTCGGGGACGCGCAGATGTTGACGGTGTGCACTGGAGATGCCTGGAGCGCCTGTGCTGGCGGATGTAGCCCCACCACGTGGACGGCATGTCACAATTCCGGTTTGTCCATCTTACGGGAGTGGAGTGGTCGATACCTGGGGCGTTGTACAAATTGGCCATGGTTTGCACACAGGTGCTTTTTTTGCCGGGGCGAGAGGCTACACGCCATGAGATTACGGGGTGGGGCGTGCCGGTATTATACATAATGGGTGGAGATTTTAGAAGAAGAGAGTTGGATACGAGAACAGTCGACACGGGGCTGGAAATAGATCATCTGGTGCTATCTAAAGTAGGCGCCGAAAGATGAGCTATACGACCAGACCGTGCGAGCTGGCCCTGCGCGTAGGTCTTGTCTGGACTGAACGGCTACACTAGGCTTAGAGCCCGAGTTGCGGCCCCGAGCTGGTCACGTGCCGACAGCCTGGAAGGACTGGCGAATGGGCCCCATGGTGGCCTGGGCAGAAGTCACCTGATTCCATGCTGCCTGCACTGCCGGTGACGCAAGCGGCGCCATTTTTGGAAAAGCAACCAGCGGGCATCAGCGGAGAAGAACATACGATGGGAGCGTGTGCAATCTTCCCGTCGTGATTTATTAGGCGTTGCGCATCGCACGCCCGGCCGCCGACTCTACTACGTGGCCCTGGAGTAGGTGCGCGGATTTGCGGGGCGACAGCGAATAGTAAATATTCATTATTAGGTTCTATACGTTCAACAGCTCAATTAGTAAGTTATGAATTAGTTTTAACTACTATTATTTTATTATGTATTGTATTTGCTGGTTCTATGAATTTATCTCGTTATATTTATTTACATAAATATAAATATAAAAATAAAAGAGTACAAATAAATTAATCCATATTACATATTTGAGTTAATGTAAAAATTAAAATATAAATAACGTTAAAATCTTTTATTTTTTACGATAGTCATATATATTTTACATGTCTAAAAGTTGGATTGTTATAATATAATAAACATATCTAAATAAAATATAAAAGTGAAATAGGTCATGCTATTTTTAATTATACCTTCTTATAATCTGTTATATTTATGTCATTATAAATAAGAGTTATTAATAATATCACACCCGGCATTCAAATAAAGTTAAAGATATATATGTAAATTTTATACATGAGTATAACTATAAGTATAAATATAAGTATAAGTATAAGTATAAATGTAGTTACCAGCAAATGAGTCAAGATAATAAACCTTTAATCTTATTATTTTGGAAAGAAATAATAGTAAAATGGCTAGAATTAATTAGAGTTTATATTTAAATGACCTTATTATAAATTTAAATACGACGTTAATTTAATTGTTACATAAGTCGTATATCCTTATATAATATGTCATAATCTAAATTATAATGAAGAATAGTGTTATTTAATTAGATGAGATGAGATGTTAAATAAGTATCATATAACCTATATAAGTTATTATGAAGTTATATATGATAAAAGTGATATCTTATTTATTAGGTTAAGTTTTATAAATGCGAATTAAAATATATATTTATCTGTATATATATGTATATATAAAAAGTATTAAGGATAACTACTGAGAATCAAACTCAGATATATCGCGCCACATACGATTGTTCTCTAGCTGTAGCAAGAATCATATTAAGATGATTACCCATCAATTGGACATGAGTCGACGGGGCAATTTCGGCTGCACACCAAGGAATACGCAAATTTCAAGGGCTCCTGGACCCAAACCAAATTGAATTCCCGAAAAGCCAAAGCGTTAGGAGTCCAGAAACGCGTGGGCGCCCAAGGGTTTCTAGGGCCTTGAGCACCTCAATATTGCGTGAAGCCAAAGCGCCTGGAGATGCAGAGAAGCTGGAGCGTCTCGAATACCGCACGGGCCCAGAAAAGACTAATCATAATCACCAGACACCAGGCACCAGAAAAAGACACCAGACAGCAAAAGACACCAGACAGAAAAGACACCAGACAGAAAAAACACCAGACAGAAAAAAACACCAGACAGAAAAAACACCAGACAGAAAAACACCAGACAGAAAAAACAACCAGACAGAAAAACAA